GTGTTAGGGTCTGTTTGGCTAGTTAAAGCTTTTTTTATTTTCTGTTATTTCTGTTATTGTACTCACTTACAGCAGGGGCACAAGAGTCTTTTCCCTTCTTATTTCTGTCGCCCTATATAATATAATAGAAGCTGGTGCCGCCAGTACTGTTCCATTGCTCCAAACCTTTTCTTCTTCCTTTCTTCTTTTCTCTCTTCTTCCCTTCTCTTCTCTACTTCCTCGTATTTCAATCGGATTTATTGCCAAGAGGGCTCATTTGTAATTTTACTTTGTTTTTGAAGCAGCAACTCGCACTTCCTGAGAGATATCAGCTTTGTAAGAATTTGTTCGCTTTCTTTTGTTATTATTAATAAAATTCTTGATTATCCATAAAAAAAAAAAAAAATCATTATACTCTCTAGTCAGGAGAGAAATACTTGACATGGAAACATCTTTAAAGGTTCTGTTCCTTGATAAACAAATAAATAAAAATGAGATGACCAAAAAACACCCAAGAATAGTTTATTGTACATCCACTTTACAAGATAATGCTCCACCAAATGAGTGCAGAGAATATTGAACAAATGAATCAAATTAATAAACAATGCTATTCAAAAAAAAGGTAATCTTTACTAACATGCACAAGCATCTTCTATTATACTATAAAATAATATATAAACAGCCTGAAGCTATCTTTACCTTCTTAACAAAATAAGAGTATTTCTGTCTGAACTGCTGCAGCACATGTTGCACTAACTGGAAATGATCTACCTGACCTTTAGCTATAAGGGTAATTTGATGCTCAATGAAACTGCGAATATCTGGCAAGCAAAGGTCTGGATCTATACATTGATATCCTCTTATCAAGGTGATTCCTAAGGCTGTAGGAACCAACCTCCTTCCAGGATGCACCTTCAAATTTAGAAGAAACTAAATTTTCAATTCTTGGAACATGGTTGCCCAAGGAAAACCTTAAAATAACCCAGGCATTTAGATTATGTAATCAAGTAATTAATATTTAAACATAAAAAATAAAAATTGAAATAAGAGCATCCTCTATTAATTGTCAAACTAGGGTGTAATATTCATTTCAATTCATAGTTCACACAAAAACATACCCAACTATGTTTAGTCAATCATGTTTCATGCTTATAACAGCATACTCAATTATCTTGTCTGAGTTGTCTTCTAGCCTAAAATTGAAGATAGAAACGGAAGAAGCAGAGAGAGAGAGAGAGACCAAGAAGAAAGAGATTGAGGTTCAATTAAGGATAGGCAATTCAATCTACTCCCCTTTAATTCAAGTATAACTATAGATAAATTACAATAACACCCTTAAGTTATTATGCTCTACTCCTAATAGCTAGTCCCCAGCTTATCTCACAAGAGTCTGTAATCAAAATGACTCAAGTCTCTTCTCAAATATGTCAACTTGATTAGTTGACTATGCTGTTCATTGGATGTTCCCTTACCATCCAGTAATCATGTTCAAAGCAGCATTGGTATTTTCGGAAGTAAATAAGCAGGTCAAATATATGATTAAAACATCGAATGATTCAGATGATGTTGTATGACCAGAATGGAAATATGAAGATGAATACTTAACAAATGTGAAAAGAAAAACAAATACAAAAAATTGCCATGGTGACATATGGTAATAGGTTACAAACCTGCACATAATTGCGCTCACATATGTTGTTAATATGTACAGAAATGGATGCATCAGTACCTATCCCATTCTTCTCCATAAGGGAAATCAGCTCACTCTCACTGAGGTAATCTGGAGGTGTTGTATTTCCCTAAATGTTAGAAATTCAATCATGCAGATATCAGAGAACATCAACAATTTCCTATATACTTCAGATTTTACATCATAATCAACATTCTGAAATCCTTTACAAGGAAGTTTGTTAGAAAACATAAAATCCAGCAAATGATTGGAAAGAAATATCAACTATGACCAAAAGAAAAAAAAAATCCATAAACAAAAAATTTGAGAAAGAACCACAGATTGAATCTAGAGTTTTGAAGCACTACCTCAAATAATTCAAGTTTTGAAATTTCTATTTTTTCCCCTTTAGTGAACTGAGGAAGATTCTTCTCAGTTACTGCCATCCACGGCATTACAGATGTAAATCCATTAACTGTGACATGCTGTCCAGTACAGTAGAATAATTCCCCACCACTAGTAAAGTCTACTCTCGTCCTGGAATGACCATGAAAACACAAAGCACGTTATAGGAAAAAAGAACTTTCAGACATGGACTAAGATAATCAGATATCAGACTTCTTATTTCTTCCTTTCATTTTCTACACAACTAAGTATGACAAGAGTATATAAGCAAAATTATACAGTACAATTGTTAATAACAATAATCACCATTTGATGAAGTACAAAGGTTGTTCAACAAGAAAATAATTTGATAGTTGGACACAGAAAAAACATTGCATTGTCTCAAGTCAGAAAATATAAACTACAGTGTAGGCCTGCCAATACAAACATTAATGTTGCCATTGGAAACAGAACCTTAGTACAGGGTGCCAAATTTTAATTATGGCTGTACATATGGAAGTTGAGATTCTAGGGCTTTCCTTTCCTATATCGTATAAAACAAAAGAAAAAGTAAAATAATCAGCATCCACTATTTGTATACAGAAACTGAAATTTCTATTTAATGTCGCAAAAAGAAATTGCTTGAAGTAATAAAAATTAAGTGTAAGAGCTAGACAGAACATACATTTGCATTATACAAACTAATCTGATGTTTACCTTTTCCTTCTGTTTCTTTATTTATGCATCCAGATTGCTTTTAAGGGAAGAAGACTGAGCTAACTATTATTTACCAGATTGAAATGAGTTTGCATTAGGCTTTGAGAATCTAAACAAGAAAATTCACTCTTCTTTCTTCTATACTATTCTTTTTGGGATACCTCCCGTTTGTTTTTTGCCTTTATTTTAATGAAAAATTCTGTTTCTGATCACAAAAAGAATGTGTACTAAGACCCACCTATAACAGAGTAAAATAATATTTCAAAAAAAATCAAAATATTTAAGCTCAAATGAGTGTCTGCTCTAAAGATCCAAAAGAAAAGTAACACCTCCCTCTCAGGTAACTTAACTGAAGTTCAAGGTCATTCATATTAGTGATTATTTATTTTTGATCATTCCACAAATGGAGCTAAGAATAATTTATTATCTTCTTGCATTGTCAATTGTGATTTTTACTACTTTTCTCTTTTCAATATCTTTAATCATCAAGACAAATAAAATGTTAAGTGCATGAAGTCCAAAATAACTTATCCATCATTATTTTTCTTGCCTTCAAATAATTGCTTCCTATATCTACCACAGTTTGCACCACATTTTCAGGTCCTTCCTCATTGACATCATGTACCACCAACTTATAAATATATAGTGCATCTTTCTTTTCTTTCTGATGCATCAATGGATGTATGAAAAATCATCATTCCATTGCAGTACTCCATAAAGTTGATAATGGGCAACTTTGTAAACTTTCCCAACCATCAAACATGATTGTCACCATATATTTGTTTAGAGAACTTGTTGTCAAATGTAGGGGAACTCGAGTTGGCCCAAGTTAGCATTTTACACTGCTTTGGGCTCAGGCCTCCATGCTAGGGCCCTTTCAAATTTTGACAAAAGCCCAACCCAAACCCTCCCAAGTTGCATCCTTACTCGCACAGACACGCAGCGATAGAGGGATTGGAAGGTGCACAATGAATTGACTCCTCAAAACCCAAGCACCCAATACTTAAAAACCCTAGTTGAGAGTGTGCTATAACTCAAATATTTAAACACCAAAGAAAAAGCCCCCTTCTCTTTTATAAGATTCAATGGCTTTCTGGGGAAGGCAACTAAAATATTTAAACACAACCCCCTAAAATGCCCCCCTTCACAAACAGTCCCTCGAGAACAAAAGTATCTTCAACCAACCCGCCAAAAGGCAACTTTAATTACAAAAAAGTCCAAGGGACCAAAACACAGAAGAGATGTGCCCAGCCACCCCTAACCAAGATCTTGTAAAATGACAAAAATGTCCCTGGACCCAAACTGACCACAAAGGTACTACAAAAAACAAAAAAAAAAAAAAAACAAAAAACATATTCAGGATATATTTACATCTCCTTTTTCTTCTTTATTTTTTGGTGCTCATCAAAGCTGAAGCCATTTGCAACAGAATTCACAAGGAATTAGGAAGTGAAACAGGCAGATCATAATGACTAATTAAGAAGTAAATCTATACTACTTATAAAAGTGCGAATGAGGAGGTACTGGCTTCTGGAATTTTTCTTTACTGAAATACCCCCTCCTCTTGAATTTAGTTCATCTCCACTGAAATGGCAGAAAATGTAATTAAAAGAATACCATTAAATACATTCAATTACCTCTCATTAAGCCTCACATTTAAGTCATTAAATACACCACATTCTCTCGTTGAATCTAACATTTATAATTTTGTTTATCATAATTAAATTCCACTAATAAATCCATACACAATAATTATTAACAGAATGAAATTTTATATTTTTAAAATAAACATAGAAATGAAATCATATTTTTCATCTAGGTGGTGGGTAAGTAGTTCAACCATTTGGGTCAAATGGATAATTCCATGATGTCATAAATAAATCTATACTACTTTAAAAAGCACGAATAGCCTCAATAATATTTTTGGAATTTTTTTGAGGACAAAATTTACCCTTCTACATTTAAATTTATTGATAAAAAGTGAGGGCAAATAGGGTAATCAGTTATTGATATTAAATGAGTTGAAAAGAGGTAATTTTATGATATTCAATGCATTCAATTCCCTTTCAATAAACCCAATATTTAATTTATTAACTTGCATACATGTTCAATGAATCTTATATTTAAGTTATTTTGGTATCTTCTCATCATTAAGTTCTATTAATTAAATCCATACTTAATAAATTAATAATTTCAATAACATAAAAACTTATACTTTTAAAATTTACCTAGAAAAAATAGAGTTTTCATCTAGGTAGTGGTAAGAAATTAAACCATTTTAGGTCAAATGGGTTAATCCATGTTACCACGATTAAATAAGAAAACTAAAAAATAGATAAAATGAAAAAAAAATAGTAATTAAAAAAATTGAGAACATTTTTAACATACATATTAAACTATAATAGGTATGATAAATAAGAAATGTTTTTATTAATGATGGAAATTGAATGTAAAATTTAAAACCAATTAGAAATAAAAATATTTTCCTATTCTCTCTCATTAAATCCTATATTTAAGATATATTTTTCTCAACATAAATTTTTGTAATTAAATCCACAATATTAATTTTAATAGTATAAAAATAAATATTTTGAAAAGTAATTTGAATACAAAACCATTTTCTTCCCCCACGGTGGTGGGCAAGCATGGCCTCAAGAATATTTCTGGAATTTTTTTGAGGACAAAATTTACCCCTCTACATTTAAGTTTATTGATAAAAAGTGAGGGCAAATAGGGTAATCAGTTATTGATATTAAATGAGTTAAAAAGACGTAATTTTATGATATTCAATGCATTCAATTCCTTCTCAATAAATCCAATATTTAATTTATTAACTTGCACTCATGTTCAATGAATCTTATATTTAAGTCATTTTTGTTTCTTTTCATCATTAAGTTCTATTAATTAAATCCATAATAAATTAATAATTGCAATAACATAAAAGCTTATACTTTTAAAATCTACCTAGAAAAAATAAAGTTTTCATCTAGGTGGTGGTAAGAAATTAATAATAAAAACATTTTGGGCTAATCCATGTTGCCACAATTAAATAATAAAATGAAAAAATAGATAAAATGAAAAAAATAGAAATTAAAAAAATTGGGAACATTTTTAACATACATATTAAACAATAATAAGTATGATAAATAAGAAATGTTTTTATTAATGATGGAAACTGGATGTAAAATTTAAAACCAATTAGAAATAGAAATATTTTCCTATTCTCTCATTAWGTCCAATATTTAAGATACATTTTCTCATCATTAAATTCTTGTAATTAAATCCATAATATTAATTTTAATAGTATAAAAATTAATATTTTTAAGAGTAATTTGAAAACAAAACCATTTCGTTCCCTCCCGGTGGTGGGCAAGCAATTCGATCATTTGAAGTCAAATGGATTAATAAATTATTCTATAATTAAATAATAAAAATTTTAAAATAAAAAAGTATGAAATGTAAGAAGTATTTCTATTAATGATGAAAATGGAATGCCAAATTTAAAATCCACCTAGAAATGAAATGATATCATAGTCAAATAATAAAATTTTTAAAAATAGAACATACAAAGAATCAAAAAAATTAAAAAAAAAAAGATAGAGAAAATTTTGGGCACATATCTAATGTAATATATTTACAAATAATAAAATATTAGGTACATCTCTAATATTGTGCAGTCATTATATTGAACAAAAATAAGTATTATACATAGTGTTTTAGAAGCGCAAGGCGCAAAAAAAGCGCAAGGGCCAATTTGTAACTGAGGCACAAGGCGCAAGGCGAGGCGCACACCTTTTTAAGAAAGGCACAAAATTACCAAACAAAAGCTAAAAAATCAAAAATAAAGTCAGAAAATTCCAAACAAATGCCAAAAAATTTTAAAAAAAAATGCAAAAAAAGTAAAAAATGTTAAACATAATTCTAATAAAAATATAAACTTAAATTTTAAAATAAATGATTTAAAAAACCTATTATCTAAAATCAAAATACATAAACATAACATGTAAAGTGTATTCAAATGAAAATTTAAAAATAAAAGCAAACACATAAAGCATTTTCAAGCATGTAAAATCCACAATCTCTTTTTTTCCTTAATTGCATTGAAGTAGTTAATGTGATGTAAAACATATTGCATTCTTGATTCTATGAGTCGCCTTTGTAGCACGCCCTTCAAGGTAAGCCCGAACAAGTCAGGCGCATGCCTAGGCGCACCAGGTGCGTACCTTTTGAAAGAGGTGTGCCTATGACCTGGGCGAGGCACATACCCCAAAATGTGCTTCACCCGTGCGCCTAGGCGTGGCACGCCTTTTAAATCACTGATTATACATAAAAAAAATTTTTTTAATGATGGAAATGTAATACAAAATTTAATGTCAACCTAGAAATCGAACTATTTTTCTTTTTGGGTGGTGGGTTAGTGGTTTAGGTCAAATGATATCATAGACAAACAAAAATTAAGTGTGGTAACTAAAATTATTTATATAATGTAAATGAAATATATAATTTAAAGGGAAAATTATAGTCAAAGCCGG